AAAAAAAAATTCGAGTTTTCGTCACTGATTTTCGATTCTCGAAATATTCTGGTGGCTTCTCTTAATTACCTTCTTTTCGTCTTCTTCGACGGTACTGGCTTTCTCCATGGTGAACAGTAACTGCAGCAAGATAAAGAGCACCTTTCATTTGACTAACATGCTAGTTGTTTCGTAAAGGCTCAATAGTTAATTACTCAACTAATTCAATTAATACATATGGGTTATTAACCAAGCGTGAGGTCAAGATGGCTGGATATTGGCCGAGTTCTTTTTTCGCATTTTTATGGACCTCGACTTCGTCTCGATCCATAAAAATGCGAAAAAGAAAGAGGCTAATATTCAACTATCTTGACCATGCTTGGTTAATAATGGAGTTATTATATCGCAAAAAGATTTCGCTTTAATAAGAATTATGAATGACTTGTTTACTTCGAAAGAAAGCCAACTTTTTTTTTGGCAGAACAGACGTAAGAGGGTCGTTTCTGTTTCCTTTGTTTTGACTATCTTCGGCCACTTTTTGCGTATCCATCGCCGAAATTGTCGTTCTAGTTCTATTTTTTCATGCGCGGAATCAACCCCCGCAGGCAACCCCGAGCAGGCAAGATGAGCCCATCTTGCCCGCTCGGGTAGCCAATCCGAACACAGGATTCGCTTCATATTGCCCTTAGGTGCTGCGACTGATGTAATAAGTGTAGATATAAACATAACTTCTTACTCAAATAAGGTGATTTGTTACTATTGATTTGTATTGCGCAAATATCAATCCAGAAATGTTCATGTGCGAAAATTTAATTTAAATAGACAACATGCCTGAAGAGCCTAAAATCTCACAATATAATTAAACAATTATTTTGTATAAATTCATTCACACTGAAGGTGATCCTTTGAAGGTTTCAATCAGGTGTTGCTCATTTTCTGGGAAAAAAATTAATTTGCGGGCACCTTTGAAATTAACACCTCTGATCGCCAGTTTAACATTTCTCTGACAACAACAAACTTGTCACTAAGACGTTTTTCAATCGCGATGATCTGTTAGGTTCAGTAAGAGAGGGAGGAAATACGAAGCTACTCTCGTGAATACACTGATTTGATTGTTGGTTATGACGTTAATAATATGGAATACCGATCTTGTCGGTATGATAAAAAAAAAAAGAGAATACAGTCAAGTATTCCGTGCGCCAACTCGGTAGCACGAGCCAATACTTTGGGTGATACAAGGTATTCCTTGATTCATTGTTTTGAGAAGTAGTATATATTCCTCCAAAAAAATTTAAAATTGAAAAGGCCTTACCTTTCACAGTCTTGTTAGTGGATAATCGGATGTCAAGACCATCCTCATACTCTGTTTCAAGGAATCAGTAGAGTAAACCATGTCATGATGCTTTTGGTTCATGTTTTCTTCTTGAATACAATACTAAACAATTCCGTTTTATATGAAGTAATAGTCATGTATACTCTATTATCTATTGATTGATGAAATATACAACTAAGTTATCCAGACCAAAAAATAAAACACTTGAAATACTTCGGTCAAGTTTAACTGTAAGCGTTATATTTAGAACTGGATGCGTGCGAGCTTAAAAATTTTTCCGAAAGCTCTAGAATTCACGATGAATTATCTAATTTCTCGATGGATATAAACTTCTTATATTACACAGCTCATATTTACATCTGCAAGATTGTGAGTTTTATTTCAATTAACAAGTAATAATACCTGAGGAAGATGCACTTTCATCCCCTCTACAGGCTTGTTCCATCGCTGTCGACATGGTAAAGGGATATTTTTAAGTAGAGTTATTTATCATATAATAAAACTGAAAACTCAAAATATAGAATGATTCTTATCGATATATACGTATCATTCATTTACAACAGCCGTATTGTATGTGGGACGAGGATATTTTTCTTCCAGGATACACTGGGCATGTACAGGTTGCTAAAGGAAAGGGAGGAGCGTCTCACCAGTAGAGGTAGAAAGTCCTTAAGGAAAACTTTCAACAAAATTTTTAAACGTATCTAAAGAAAAACAAAGCTAATTAAACTAGGCCTTCTTCTTCCAAAAGTGATAACGCCAAAATTAGTCACTTTTATGTCATGTGGGAAAATCTTTTCAATCTTTTCTCTCTCAAAATGCACATAGAGAATGTACCAGAGCAAAAAAAAGGAATAACGTGGTTTTTCTCTAGGTACTTCAATTTGAAAGAGCAATTATTCTGGTAGATTTCAAATAGACTAGATATACCTGCCAAGGAAATCAAGTTGCAAAGTGAGTCATGGCATAACCATCAACATCAGTGTCACGGTTGAAAGTTTTTCGGGTCGAATAATGTCCTTGGTATGTTTCCCATTTAGTAGTTTTACTTCACTATTTACGACGTGCTGTCTGAAAATCAGTGTACAGATGGAGCACTGACCTGGTTGCAGAGCAGGCAGTTCAAGGGATTCCACTTCTGGAATATCGTGGTGTTCTATTACTTGCATTTCAATGTGTTCTCCTACGAGGAAAAAAATGAAAGAAAGAAAACCAGGATTACTAATGAATGAAAAACAAGAATGGAAAAGTTGTTACACAAAAAAGTTCCGAGGTAGAAAAGGAATATTTCATGTGTAATCACATTGATCAAATATGTTTTTACCCTCTTCGTTGATAGCGTGTGCATCTTCATTTCCAGCCTGTCCCTGCTGATCAGTTCCTGCTTCTTCTATGTTATAAAACAACAACAAAATTTTCTTGGTCTTCTTCAAAAAGTGAATAAGCCACTGTCAGGCTTTTGCAAATATTTATTACACAAAAATCATTCTACAAGTCAGATTTGTATTAATCTTCCCTTGAAATTGAAGACAGAGGTTGATTTCTTTTTATTTTAATGATAATTTACAAATTTCCGCTCCATTCTTATTCAAAAAGGTTTCACAAATGGCTTCAATGCTCCTTGAACATGGCTTTGATCGATCAGAAATCGATCAGATATAAATATTTCAACCAGCGACGCTCCTCCCCCCCCCCCATGAAAGCTGCTGTAACCCCATTTCTACGCACACATTTAGAGTCACACTCTTGATTGCTTTTCGTACGCCTTAGGCGTAAAAAAATGTGAAACTCGAAGCGTGAAACACCATTATTGTTATCATGGTATTTTATTTTAAAATGGAACATAAAACCGTTACCTTCTTGATTTTGCCCTCTGTTGAAAAAAGATCGAACATTGGACCACAGCTTCCTCAGTTTTGGTTTCAGTATAGCCTTCACCTACACATCAGAAAT